AGTGGTGCAGTCATAGCTCACTGTAACCTCAACGACGTCTGGGCTCCAGTGATCCTTCCACCTCAGCCTCCCAAGTAGCTGGGACTACAGGTGCATAAATGAGCTACCAAGCCCAGCTAATTTTTCTATTTTTTGTAGAGATGGGGTCTCACTGTGTTGTTCAGGCTGCTCTAAAATTCCTGGGCTCAAGCGATCCTCCTGCCTGGGCCTCCCAAAGTGCTGGGATTATAGGTGTGAGCCACCACACACAACAAGAATAGATTATAAACCCAGAATTTGTTGAATGAATTTCTTGAATGAATGAATGAATTTCTTGAATTTGTTGAAATACATGATTTCAAAGATTCTAAAATAATGAATTTTTTAAAAAGAAATTATACATTTTTCTTTGGGTGTCATTAATAATAGAATAGATTGTCACATACCCAGAATTATTTGGGGCAATGACCTGGCTGAAAGCAGGAGAGAAGAACCAAGTGGAAGATTTTGGTGAGATCAGCACTGGTCTTCTCTGAATCTAATTTAAAGAGATTTAAAAATATTACACAATCCTTACAGAAACTAAGCCCACCCCGAAATATTATTTAACCATATTTTAACTGTGGTCATGATTATTCTTTTCCTCATTTAGTAAGTGCCTATTTTGTGTGGAAACACAATCTTTTGAACACTTAAGTTTTTGTCTTTTTATCTTTAAGGTGTAACTTATGTTTTAAAAAGTCATCAATTTTAGGCATACAATTTGATGAATTTTGACATTTGTGTACAACATGTAATCACCACTGCAGTCAAGATACAGAACTGGCCAGGTACAGTTGCTTACACCTGTAATCCCTGCACTTTGGGAGGCCGAGGCGGGAGGATCGCTTGAGGCCAGGAGTTTGAAACCAGCTGGGGCAACATAGCAAAAAAAAAAAATTTAAATTTAGCCAGGCGTAGTGACAGGTGCATGTAGTCCCAGCTACTTGGGAGGCTGAGGCAGGCGGATCACTTGAGTCCAGGAATTGGAGGCTGCAGTGAACTGTGATTGTGCCACTGCACTCCTGCCTGGGTCACAGCGGGAGACCCTGTCTCACTCGCACACGCAAAAGATACAGAACTGTCCCCTCATCCTACAAAGTCTGCTCAGCTCCTTGGTACTCCATCCTCTCTCTCCACCCCAGCCTCAGGCACCTGCTGATCTGCTTCTTGTCTAACAATTAAAATAATAATTATCATCACAGAGTCAGGAATTCTTAACTAATGTGTTGATCAAAGGGTAAAAGAAGCAGACGGAAGGGGAAATGACAGTGAGAAGGGAATTGGTAGCAAAGCTCACCAGCCCGAAACAGGATGTGGCTTCACTGGACAGGGGACTTAGCCTGACTTGGAGACCAGGGCTGGAGGCCAGGAGAATACGCCGAGCCTTCGGAGGCTGGGTGCGCCAAGAATGTTTTACAAATGACCTGGTAAGACATTTTTACGATTACGGAGAAAGAACACACGGGTTGTAATATACAGCTCAGATAGAGATCTGACAACTGGGTTTCTGAAACATGGGTCTGGATTCATTTTTAATCTGCTGCCGGAAAGAACCCCTAAGCTCCGAAGATTTGAAGTGGCCATGCTGCTTAAAGACGACGCATTTGAGTAAATAAATAGAACATCTGCCTCAGAGAATGTATTCACTCTGTCAAGCTATTAACTAAAAGACTCATAGTCTCTGGTTCCTGCCAAGATTTATTAGCTCAGTTGAAATACAGGAAGGTTGTGAGAAATTAAATGCAACAAAGACGAGAACACAGGGTCTGTAGTTTTATGTGGAGCTGTTTCGGGGCTTGAAACTTACTGTCTCCACGTGGGTACCAGGGACTGTCTAGGACGTGGGGCTACCGCTGATAAAGACAGGCAAGCTCCTGCCCTCCTGTAGGGGCTCACATTCTGATCACAGGAGGCGGGACTCTCAGCCAGAGACTGGGGCAGGGGTGGATATAAAGCAGGGTATGGGGTAATTGGGGTGTGGTGGAAGGTGTACTTTAGGTGGGCTGGTCAGGGAAGGCCATTGAGCATGTGACCTTTGAGCAGAGACTGGAGTGATAGACAGAGAACCAGCTTCTCCAGAGAAAGAGCACTTCAGGAATCAGGACCAGCACGTGCAAAGGCCCTGAGGTGGAAATGAAGTTCAAGAAAGAAGGCAAGGGTAGCCTGAGCACAGTGACCAAGGTAAAGAGCAGTACAAGCAGAGGTCAGACAGATAAGAAGTTTTGCTCCAAAAATGAAAGCGTAAGCCCTCTCGAAAACAAAGTCACAAAACTGGCCGTAATGGTGCCCTGGTGCCCTGGGAGATGTGTCACTGCTAGGCAGTAGCTGGGATGCTTACAGGCACAAAGTTGCTTCATACTTACTCAGGTGCTGATCATGGACCCAGAGCTGGCAGGGAATAACCCCTCCATTTTACAAATGAAGAAACAGAGGCCCAAAGAGGATAAGGTTCTTTTTTTTTTTTTGAGACAGAGTCTCACTCTGTTGCCCAGGCTAGAGTGAGTGCCGTGGCGTCAGCCTAGCTCACAGCAACCTCAAACTCCTGGGCTCAAGCAATCCTCCTACCTCAGCCTCCCAAGTAGCTGGGACTACAGGCATGTGCCACCATGCCCAAGCTAATTTTTTCTATATATGTTAGTTGACCAATTAATTTCTTTCTATTTATAGTAGAGACGGGGTCTCGCTCTTGCTCAGGTTGGTTTCGAACTCCGCCCACCTCGGCCTCCCAGAGAGCTAGGATTACAGGCGTGAGCCACCACGCCCAGCCGAGGATAAGGTTCTTACTCGAAGAAACATCCTAAGTGAGGTCAAAAGGCAAATGATAAACTGGGGGAAATATTTGCAGTTCATATCACAGGTTGGGGTTCAGTTTCCACGCTATACGAACAGTGGCTGGCTGGGGGAGAGGCCCAAGAAGAGGGTGACCAAAATCCAAACGTTTGATCACATACAGCTGCTCATTCACTGACCATGGCAGGAGAAATGCATCCAGCCCTGTGCAGTTCTGGCATAATTAAAGCGCATGGCTGGTCAAAACCTGAAAAGGACTCAGATGTCATTCAGCAGGTGCATCGATAAATCGTGGTCTATTCAGACAACGGAACAGAATGCAGCTCAGCAATGAAAAGGAAGAATCTATGATCCAGGAAACAGCGTGGGTGAATCTCACAAGCTTGCTGAGCAGAAACAGCCGTGTGCAAAACAGAATGTGCTGTAGGATTCCGTTTATATGAAGGTCTAGATCAGCCACAACTAACTGATCGTTTTCTGGGACCAGGAGTGGAGGTTGACTGCATAGAGACGCCAAGGGGACTTTTGAGAGGGATGAAAATTTTTTATATTTTGATTGTGGTTGTCTTATGGGTGTATACATTTGTCAAAACTTAAAATGAGTGGGTCCTTTTAAATGTATGCAAATGACACCTCAATAAAGTCGATTTAAAAAAATAAATTTTTAAAAAGAGGAGAAAAGGCATAGGTGGGAAGCAAAGGCAGGCTCTGGTTAGATTGCTGTTCATTCACTGCCTATCAGTCACCTTTCATGTACAGGCGTCGTAACAGGTACTGACGAGCTTTTTGCACCCGTATACAGGGCAGTGTAGTCTGGCACGGTGGCTCACGCCTGTAATCCTGGCATTCTGGAAGGCCAAGGTAGGAGGATCATTTGAGCTCAGGAGTTTGAGACCAGCCTGAGCAAGAGTAAGACCCCGTCTCTACTAAAAATAAAAAAGGAAAGAAAGAAAGAAGGAAAGGAAAGAAGGAAGGAAAGGAAGGAAGAAGGGAGGGAAGGAGGGAAGGGAGGGAGGGAGGGAGAGAGGGAGGAAGGGAGGAAGGGGAAGGAAGGAAGGGAGGGAGGGAGGGAGGGAGGGAGGGAGGGAGGGAAGAAATTAGCCAAACCACTAAAAAAAAATAGACAGGCATGGTGGCGCATGCCTGTAGTCCCAGCTATTTGGGCGGCTGAGGCAGGAGGATTGCTTGAGCCCAGGAGTTTGGGGTTGCTGTGAGCTAGGCTGATGCCACGGCACTTTAGCCTGGGCAATAGAGCAAGACTCTGTCTCAAAATAACACAGAGCAGTGGAGGCACCAACTCTGGCCCCGTGAGTCCCTGTGACCCTGGGTTTCCTCCACATGCCTCACCTACCAGTGAACATCCCATCATCCACTGCTCCCAGGCCATCAGCTGCCCAGAGACCCACCATCTGGACCCAAGTTGGGGCAGAGGCATTGGCTACTAAGGAGAAAAGTGGCTGTCCCTTCTTGGCCTGAGAACACTTAAAAATGGATTAAGCAAAACAAATGGGAGGGAGATTGGGCTTGTTTGTGAACCAGGGCCCCACCCTGACATGCGTGCACATTCTGTTTAATAGCCAGCGCTCATCTCACTCGCTTGGTGTCGTTTGCTCAGATGTTTTTGCTAAACCCCAATCCAAGGTAGTAGCATTGTTTTGCTTTAACTTTACGAGTTTGACAGAGCATGTTTGTACCTGATTTCTGCAGATGTCTTCCCAGCCCCCACTGCTGCATGTATGTACGTTCTGGGCACATGAAACGTCCAGGGCAGGAGACGGTGGCTCTTTGCAGATAAATGGCTGTCTCCAGGTGGCTGGTTTCTGTGTGTAGGCTTTGTCCTACAGTCAGATTGAGAAGAGGTGTGATGGATACTCTGGTTGTTATTTACTACTGCTCAGATCGGATATCCAGAAGCACACAGCTCAAGGCAGCTGGGATGTGGTACAGTGTTTTCAATTGTTAGAAAAATTAATCATGCAAACAAGAGACACGTGTTAGTGCCCAGCCACCGCTTCCTGGCTCTTTCCCGAGGCTAAAGTCGGCACCGTCGATTTGCACCACCCACCTCTCAGACCAGGAGGGAAGCACAAAGGTGACAGAGAGGGCATCCTCCCTGAGCCATTTGCGGGGGGACCACAGCTGTTTGCAGACCTAAATCGCCCTGCCTGCTTCATTTTTCTTCCTTTCAGAAGCTTTCGAGATTGCTCTGCCACGAGGAAGCGGCATTACCGTTCTCATAAAGCTGGGGGCCTTGACCGTGCCCGTGAAACCCTGCTACGTCGTCGTTTCCAAAAGACACGTAACCATGGTGTCCATCAAATCCGGAGAAACAACAGTCTTCACCTTCAGCTGCCAGAATCCAGAGAATCACTTTGTCATGGAGATCGAGAAGAAGATTGGTAAGTGTGCACTCACCAGCTGCTCGACAAATGTCTTTTCAGTGTCTCTGCACCTCCTTTCCTCTCTCCCATGCTAAGCAAACCTCTCGTGCCAGAGAGGGGAGACCTGTTCTGAAACTCTGCGCCCTCCTCCTTTTAGCTCTGGTGTGGCCGGTCGCAGTTCTGAGCGCTTTACAGGGGTTAATTTGTTTGATCTTCAGGACAGCCCTATGAGAAGCTCGCAGAGAGAGGAACTTGCCTGACGTGGCACAGCTAGGAAGTAAGTAGCAGAGGAGGGGAGGAAGCCAGGCTCTCTGGCTCTGCAGTCTTTGCGCTTAACCATTCTGCCACACGGTCTCCTCAAGAGGCCCACGAGCTGCAGATCTTCAGGTCTGTGATGCTCTTTCTCATGTGCCAGAATCACCTGGCTGCTGTGGAGCAAAAGTCCAGGGAGCTGGGACACAAAAGAATGGGAACGTTGAGGAGATAAGGGTAGGGCAGTGGGTCCACAAGGCATAATGGAAAAACAGCAGCTTTGGGTTTGGCTTCAAACTCCTGGGCTACTGGTCACTGGTCAAGTGACCTGGTCACATGACTTAATATGAGTTATTCAGCTGCCTTGAGCCTTAGTTTTCTAGTCTATAAAAATAAGGGTCTCATTACCAAACAATAGAGTTGTTATGAGGATGGAGTAAAATAATGAACTGAAAATGTATGACACATGAGAATTCAACAAACTGTAGATATTTGGTATTATTATTATTCATACTTTGAGCATTGGATAGGAGATTGACATAGGAAATAATCATAATCATGCAGGAAAAAAATATATTAATAATTTACTGATCATTTTAAGGTGGGTATGCCAAAAAGGATTAGTAGACTCGTTAACAATAATGAGAGCGCTGTTTTTGATCTAATCAAAGCCACACTTTGGAGGAAGGAATTCCTAAGTAAAAGAAGAAATCAAAGTATTAAAAAGCAGTTTTAGAAACTACATTTGATGACTGAAGCCAAAACCTGGTTCTCTGCAAAGATTAATTAAGCTAACAAATCTCTGACTAGTCTCATGGAAAAAAGAAAGAGAAAATTCACATATACATGTATATGTTAACAGTGTAAAAGTTGATTCAACGATATATACAGAGACTATTTCTAAAATCATAAGAAACTATATATAACATTATGATAATAAGTGTGAAAACTTGAAGGAATTGGATTATTTTCAAGAAAAATTTACTGGGCCAGACTGACTCATGGAAAGGCAGAAAACCTGAATAAATAAATAACCAGGAAGGAGATTGGGGAAGATGCCCAAGCTAGGAGAGAGCAGGGTTTGGGACAGTTAGAGATGATCTCACAGATGAGTTCTATAAAACTCTAAGGAGCAGATAACTTCATTCTAGAGGAGGGCTGGCAAACATTTTCTGTGCAAGGTCAGATGGTAAATACCTTACGCCTGTGGGTCAGGTGTTCTCGGTCACAGCTACTGAATTCTGCTGTTACAGAGTGAAATTGGCCATAGACGATATGTAAACAAGTGGGCAAATGGGTTAATGTAATGCTTTGCATGATTAGGTTAGGGAGAAAAAAAACTATCAATACATAGGATCATCTTAATGGATGCTTCTAAATATGTTTAATAAAAAACCTCTTAGTAAACCAGGAATAGAAGGATATTTTCTTAATCCAGTAAAATGTACCCATCAAAAACTAATAGCAAACAATATTTAACAGTCAGACATGGAAGCATTACCAATAAAACAGGCAATAGCATTAGGAGTCCCATTATTCAGAATTTCTAATTCAATATTTAGGGATAATCTTTTTTATACATTTTTTTGCTCCTCCTCAGTCAACTTGAAGATAATCTTAACAAATGCATAAAGTGTATGTGAAGCAAAATATAACATTTTGCCAAAAGACGAAAGAGGACTGAAATAAACAGAGAGATATGCCATGTTCCTTGATGCAAAAACTTAGTTTTCAGTGTGTCAGTTCTTCCCCATATTGCTTTATCAGTTTAAGTCAATTACATTTGAAATCTCAATGAAGCTTTTACAGAGCTGAAGAGAATATGATGTACTTAAGAATCCAATGGAATGGTGTGTCGCTATTAAAAGAATGAGATAAGTTTGTGTATTTGAAATGAAAAGATGCCAAAGAGGGTTTTGTTCCATTAAAAACTATGCAGCTTACAATAGGACAATAGTTCATATACTTTGATTCCACTTTATTAAATACATATGTGCACATGCACACACACACACACATGCATACAAACTTACACACATAATCATAAAAAGCCCACAGTCTGGAGGGATAAACACCAAAATATTAACTTTGTACTATTTCTATAGGGGAGGGGAATGGGTGGCATTCATTTTCTTCTTTCTACTCTGTACTGTCCTTTTTTTTTTTACAAGCATGTATTATTTTTACTATCAGTTGAATCAATAAAGTGACTTCCATTTTGTAAAAGGAAAAAGGCAACAAATGATCTCTCACAAGTCAAGGATTTAAATGCATTCAGTTTCTCAGTCCTGGGGTGCCCACTTGGTTTATTACGTGGTCAAAACCCATCCTCTCAACTTTTGAAAATGCTATGAAAATATCAGTTTTTTAAAAGAATAAATCTAGACACTGGAATCAAGTCCAGGGGTCTGCCTGCCTCTCATTCCCTTTCCTGAGTAAGATTCTGAAAGCTTCAGATGCAGTTTGTCATCTCTGTTCTGGTGCCCTCCTGAATAGTTCCGTGGAAGTTAACGAAAGTAGAAGTCTGCTGAAAAAAAAAAAAAAAAAGGGTTGTGAATCACTTCAAAAATGACACTTCTCCATCCTCTGGATAGGGATCATTTTAATTGTTTAAAATGTTTGCACTGGACAGGGTGCGAGGAGAAGATTTGGAGGCAGGCCAGTCATTTTGACTACACTTACCTGTGCGCCCATCCTGAAAACCAAAGCTCTTAGCAACAAATGAAGAATTGCCTTCACAGCCCGGCTCTTGCAGTGTCACGTGGCTGGTGATAGAGCTGAGCCTGGGAGGTGGGGCTTTTTGACTCCAAGTTCTTGGCGTGAAAGTAAATCAGAATCCTCGGGTGGCCTGGGCATGTGTGTTTTTAAAAATGGCCTCCAGGCCAGCCTACGCAGAAGCAGAGCTGAGAACCGGTGCCTGAATAGGGCTGTGCGGTCCCTCTGGAGTACAGAACCCGGCAGGAGCGAGTGCATGCTCCCTGTGCACATTGGAGGTGTGGGCGGAAGGACACTTGGGGACAGCCTTTGAAGGAAAGAGGTGGCTTGATATAAACAACAGAGTTTCCATGAGCTCCTAAAATAGGTACTATCTTTACCAACATGCAAAGTCTAATCTGAGTCCCATTAGTCACCATGTTATCTAACTGTGTCTTATCAGTTAGGCAGCCCAGTGCACTGGCAGGAACGAAGGCTGACCAGACACAGCCTGGGCTTTTGTCCTGGGATCGCTGTGCAGCACAAGCACTGGCTCAAGTCACCTGGACTCCAGGGCTGCTTTGCAAAACTGAGAGGTTTAGCACGGGTGACCTCAGAGGCCTGAGACTTCTCTGAAATTCCCCTTTAAGTCCATTTCAATGGACGGTACTTTTAAATTCCCCAATAGAGCAGTAGTAAAGATTCAAGTATTATCATTGCAGAGGCCAGAGTCCATCAGATTATCCACGCTCAAGATAACAGAAACCTTAATGTCATATTGCTTGCTTTTTTTTTTGTTTCCTACACGGTGCTTTCCTCTTATTTCCTCCTTGATGGTAATGTTTCTTGCTTTGTTTTAAAAAGTATAGGAAACAAATATGTTAAAGGATGTCATTAGTCATTAGTCTTTAAAATATATATATATATTCAACTGCAGTGGTAATAAAATACCAGCATTAATGCCACGGGGCAGGAAGAGGCGTCGTACATTCAGCGCGTACTCACTGTGTCGATGAGTGTGCTGATGGGGAAACCAGTTTTAAAAGGTGGGTCTTGGCACCGTGCCCTACGAGTTGTGCAACCGCGACTGTCGCAGAATAGGGGAAGTGGGCTATCCCATGGCACAGCCTCTGTCGCAAGCAGCCTCCCTCTGGCTTCCAGGAAGGCCTGGGCAGAGGCCCGCCCGCCACCTGGACTCCAGGAACTGAATCTGGAAAACACAGTGGTCGCAAGGTGTCTCGGGTCGGGTGCCCTGGAAGCAGTGCCTGCGGCAGGGTTTTTGAGTCATATAGCAAGAGAGGGCCCTGGGAAGAAGTGAGGAGGGCAGGGTAGAGCAGGGAAAGGAGCTAAGCACAGGTGTGGTTGTAGCTCAAGTCTAGCCTCAGCCCCAGCCCGCAGGGAGCTCCGGATTCTGAATGGCGTCACCTGAAGGAAGGAGTTCAGGCGTCTTGACTCCTGCCTGAGGTGGTTACTGGCTGTAGACTGCTGCTCCCCCCTCGGCATGGGGGTGAGGGGCTGCAAAACCTCTCAGGTTTGCTGGTCCAAGGCGCCCCCGCCTCAGCTGGGGCATGGGTGCCCCTGCCTGGCAAAAGCCACCTAGGCAGAGCCCCAGGGAGTCACCACAGGGGGCTGAGCAAGGGCTGTGTGTGGCCTTGTGGTATCTGTGGTCAAAATTGCTTTTGTGGCTGTGTTTCAGACTGCACGTCAGGCCCGTGTCCTTTTGGGGAGGTTCAGCTTCAGCCCCCGACATCGGTGCTGCCCGCCCTCAACAGAACCTTCATCTGGGAAGTCACGGCTCACAAGAGCATCGGTCTCGAGCTGCAGTTCTCCACCCCGCGCCTGAGGCAGATCGCGCCGGGCGACCGCTGCCCGGATGGAGTCACCCATGCCATCAGTGGCCGCCTCGATGCCACCATGGTCAGGATCGGAACCTTCTGCAGCAACGGCACGGTGTCCCGCATCAAGATGCAAGAGGGGATGAAAATGGCCTTACACCTGCCATGGTTCCACCCCAGAAACGTGTCCGGCTTCAGCATCGCGAACCGCTCGTCTATCAAACGTGAGCACGCCCCTCCCCGATGTTCCATTAGGTTCAGACAAGCCAAATCGTCCTTGTTCTAGGTCAGAAACAAATGTGGGCAAGTCTGCATGATCCAATCTAAATACCTTAAAGGAAGAGTCCGCTCTTCTTTAAGTGACCTGAGTCACTCATTCCTGGTGTGAACCCCCTCCTCTCTCTTCAACGAAGTGCTGACTGTGTCCTTTTACCATGTGATGCTTGTTCCCAAAAAATAACAAGGGATCGGTTCTGCAGACTCACCCTGGGTGCTCCGTTTCTAACTCCTTTGCCCTGTCTTCTGCCTCTCCCACATTTTCTATAAGTGTACCCGTGTGATGTGCAGAGCTCACTCACATGGCCCATGGGAGCTGACTGCTAAATCTGCAGGAATTTTGTGAGCTGGAGTTAAACAGAGCCATTACAAAAAAAAATAGAATTGTATAAACCTACAGTAAAATGAATTATTTTAGAAATAAGGGCAGTAAAGACTCAAAAGCTATCATTTCCACAGTTCTTTACTACATTTTATTCTTATCTGTGTTCTGGGGCTATTTGTGCCTACCTGAGTCTGTGTGGTGGATATACAGTATAACGCGCTGCTGCCCCACTCCAGGTTCGGTCACGTCGGTAGCTGGACGTCAGCTGCGGTGGCAGCAGTCACACCCACCATGGAAGTAGGCAGATACTGCAAATTAGGGCTCTTTTTTTTTTTTGCCCACTGGGTCAGTTACTAAACGTTTACTTGAATAGCACTGATGTATCTTCCCGCCCAGTCTCTGCCCTGAGTGTGAACGTACCGTGTCCAGACCCCAGGGCTCGGGACCTGAGAACCGCCATCAGGTTTCCCTAACTGCCCCTGCCCCTGGCCACAGACAACCAGGCAGGGTCTGATCGCCCCTGTGCTTTCTGGTCCGGTCCCTCGCCCAACAGGACTGTGCATCATCGAGTCTGTGTTTGAGGGCGAGGGCTCGGCCACGCTGATGTCCGCCAACTACCCGGAGGGCTTCCCCGAGGACGAGCTCATGACGTGGCAGTTCGTGGTGCCCCCGCACCTGCGGGCCAGCGTCTCCTTCCTCAACTTCAGCCACTCCAACTGCGAGAGGAAAGAGGAGCGGGTGGAGTACTACATCCCCGGCTCCGCCACCAACCCGGAGGTGTTCAAGCTGGAGGACAAGCAGCCTGGGAACATGGCTGGGAACTTCAACCTCTCCCTGCAGGGCTGCGACCAAGATGCCCAAAGCCCAGGGATCCTCCGGCTGCAGTTCCAAGTTTTGGTCCAACACCCACAAAATGAAAGCAGTAAGTGAGCCCCACTTTCCTTTCCTCTCCGCCTCCTTCACCTTCTTTGTTTCCTGGGTTGTCTGCCTAGGGTGAGGTTCCCTTCCTGTTTCTCATCTGTGGCTTGTGGAGCGCTTGGACTCTGGACTCTGTAGTCTCAGGAAGTGGGTTGCTAGGCAGTAAGGCAGGCTCCTTGGTGAACACCTGGAATGCAGTTCCATTTCGGCACAGTAGGAAGTGAACACTGGCTGGGCGCAGTGGCTCCCGCCTGTAATCCTAGCGCTCTGGGAGGCCGAAGTGGAAGGATCGCTTGACATAAGGAGTTCGAGACCAGCCTGAGCAAGAGCAAGACCCCATCTCTACACTAAAAATAGAACAATTAGCTGGACAACATGGTGTGCCCCTATAGTCCCAGCTACTTGGGAGGCTGAGGCAGGAGGATTGCTTGAGCCCAGGAGTCTGAGGTTGCAGTGAGCTATGATGATGCCACTGCACTCTACTCAGGGCCACAGAGCAAGACTCTGTCTCCAAAAAAAAAAGAGAGAGAAGAGAGGGAGAGGGAGGAGGAAGAGGAGAAGGAAGGAGGAAGAAGGAAGGAAGGAGGAGGGAAGAGGAGGAGGGAGGAGGAAGAGGAGGAGGAGAGGAGGAGGAAGGAAGGAGGGAAGGAAGGAGCAAACACGATCTCACATTCAAGGTGCTAAGGTGTTTTTAATGAAGCCATTGAAAGGTCACTTTCTAGATCTTATGTCTTGACCCTGCAGTGTTAAGACATCCTGGTGAATCAGGATGTCACCAGCACCATCAGCAATGATGACAGTCACTACACTGTTTATTGGCTCAGTGCCTCCTACTGTGGGCACACACACACTCTACATGCCAGGTCCTGCGCTAAGCAAGTCACCTACACAATCTCAGCTACTCCTCTTTGCAACCTTGCAAAGGGAGTAGGAATTATCTTCCTTTACTAATGAGAAACTAGAAGGTTCAGAAACTAACCTAACATCACACAGCTTGGCGGGAGCAGAGCAAGCTCAGAACCCAGAGCCTGTGCTCTGGGCCACACTGAACCGCAGGTAGGTTGGTGAGAACGAGGCTGGACATCATTCCATGAACGTTCCTGAGATGCTATGGGTCCAGCCAGAGGAGGAGAATCGGGGCCAGGTCTGGGGTGAGGTGAAGTGTCCAGGGTGCAAAATTTAAGGAGCCACCACGCCCAGGGTCGGGCGAGGGCAAGGCCAGCCTCTGAGAGCGGGCACCTCTTTCCCTTTTGCTCCCTGAGTGCCTGGCTTGCCCCGTCCTAGTCCTGGCCCCCAGGGGAGTAATGTGGATTTTTAAGGTAAAAGATGCAAAACAAATTCAGAGCGGCTGTTCCTGCGGCTCATCTGTGAACCGGAGCCCGAGCAGGAGTGAGTCGTGACAAGGGGTCTCGGACCAGGACGTCGCTGACACAGGCTGAAGACGGGCTCTGTCCAGAGAGCTGGTGTTTATTCTAGTTTTTACTATTATTTATTTCTGGGAGGTAGGCAGAGCCAGCCAGAAAAGTTAAGTGGGAGTGCGGAACGGCATGCTGTTTATTTTTGTAGGGCTGATGAACATCTGAAAAGCGGGATTGCCCAACTGGTGCTGCCCTGGGCGTGCTCATGTGTGTACGTGTGTGTATGTGTGTGTTTATGTTTACATATGCATGTGTGTTTGTGCACGTGTGTGCCCACAGGGACAGTTTTATCATCGCCCTGTCACAACTGTATAATCAGAATGTGAGAAACGGCCACAACATGACTGAGAAACAGAGTGGGCTTAGGTTTTAGAAGGCAAGGGATTTGTTTATCATCTCGGTCACGGGCAGGTGCTGCTGAGACCCTCTCATGGATTCTGTTTCCTGCGACATCAGCTGGTTTGATTTGTAGAACTAATCAAATGGTTAAGCGTGCTATAACCCGCATTAAGAAGGGTATGGGTTTAGTTTTGAGATAAGTAAAGAGTGATTAACTGCAGTTGAGAGATGTTTAGCAGCATCAAGGCCCGTAAAGAAAGTGTAGTTGGCACTTCTTCTAGAGTGAGAGGACTTGGCTGGCAGAAATATCTTTGGGGGTAAAATTAATCTGGGCTGAACTCCCTGAAGGCTCTGATTTCCAGGCAGCTGCGCCTTAATCCTTTGAACCCCTTTTGTGGACCCTAAATGTCAAGGGCTAGCCCAAGAAGGCCAGTCCTGTGCACCCACGCGTTTGTCGGACCCATTGTTAATTCTCTTTCCTTTGCTCAATGTCTGTGGCCAGCTTGCTTTGCAGCTGGCCCGGCCAAGGGGTTAAGGGCAGCCGGCCTATGCGGATTTGCAGACCCGGTTCCCCTTTTGACTGTGCTCACACGGGCAAGTCACTTAACCTCTGTGTGACTCGGTTCCCCATCTGTAAAAAGGAGGTGACAGGACTGCGGTCCTAGGGCATTGTGAGGACAACACGAGGGGGCACAGTGCCTGGCAGGTGGTGAGCGCTCTGTGAATGTCATCCTGCAGGGTCTAGGTCCAGGAAGGGATACAGGGCTGAAACAGACACGGGCTTGTCCCCAGAGACGGTGACGTGTGCCAGGTCAGAGGCAGAGGAGTGGACCTCAGGCTGGAGGAGTCTGGCCCTCTTCAGCTGCCCGGGGCCCATCTGAGCCGATGCTGTGTGCATCATTGCCACAGGAAGCGGCTCTACGTGTGGTTCTAGTTTCCTAGCCCTGGAGGTGAGCAGGAAGCTGGGGGAGAAGGGCTTCAAGGTGACAGAGTCCATCGGATCAGAGCCTCTGCCCTTGCTTCTCCTGCCAGAGCAGGAGGGACACCTCCTGGGGCTAGTCCCCACCGAGCCCAAGCCAGGCTTTGCCCTGACTTGGTCTTCCCTTGTCCCCAGCAGCAGGGACACCTGCCCAGACCAAAGCCACTACCCTGAGAGCACACGTGCGGGTGGTTTGCCTTCTTCACCCACCGTGCAGTGTTTACCTGTCGCCACGTCCGTCTCACCAACCTCCTCCCGGTCAGGAACCTTGTCTTATTCCTCTTCCTGTGTCTGCCACTGCTTCTGGCACATTCCCGGCCCCGCGTAAATCCTTGTTGCACCAATCGCAGAGGGTAGTGACTGGTCTAAAGTGGCTCGAGAGCCAGGCGCACCCTATGGACTCAGCCCGTCTGAGGCGTCGGGGCACCCATGAGAGCAGCCGCTCGGGAGGTCAGACAAGGGGAAGGACGTCAGCGACAAGAGCAGGTGCAGAGCCAGGAGACGCTCCCAGGCCACAGCGGGTGGCTGCCGTGCAACCAGAGAAAGCCAGGGCCTTGGCACGGGTGGAGGGAGCTGCCAGAGGCACCAGCAGCCAGCACGGACCCCTGGTCTTCCACAGCAGGACCTGAGCGCTGGGGGCCCAGGGTGCAAAAACCAATCTCTGAATACGGGGAGCAGGCAGATGTTACCTGAACTTGACTGTCTGCCAGAAAGTCTTCAAACTTTCGAGGGGTTTCGAGGTGATCATGCTTCAAATAAGGTAGATGGGTGTGAGTTTCCAGGGTGTTACCCAGGGCTTCTGTTAACCATGCCGGGGGAGGAAGCAGTTACTCTGATTCTTTTTCAACTTTTATAAGTTGAAAGCCAGAAGCCACCTGGAACCCTTAACACACTGTTGGGTTTGATTTCGTGTTTTGGTTTTTTTGTTGGGTCATTTGTGGTCTGTGAGTCTTAAGTTTGTTCTGCTGGAGTTGATCCATATTTGGGCTTTGGTTTATTCCCTGGGGCCCACTCTCATTTTAAAGTAAGAAATCTCTATGGATACCACAAAAATGATTAGGGGCCTTTGTGAAATGTCAGTAGCCTAATCTCTTCAAAGGTCCCCAGGGTAGCTTTTAAAATGATGTCAACAACTATGAAATAGGAGTTTCCCTTTAAGGGAGGGAAAAGGACAGGGTCTCCCTGCAACCTCAAACTCCTAGGCTCAAGCCATCCTCCTGCCTCAGCCTCCCGAGTAACTGGGACTACAGGTGTGTGCCACCACGCCCGGCTAATTTTTTATTTTTTGTAGAGATGGGGTCTTGCTCTTGCTCAGGCTGGTCTCAAACTCCTGACCTCAAGCGATCCTCCTGCCTCCGCCCCCCAGAGTACTAGGATTACAGGCGTGAGCCACCACACCTGGCCAGGATGAGGGCTCTTTTTAAACTTCAGGCGCCAGTGATTTTTGCATGAAGGTGTCTACAGTTTTGGAGAAGTAATATGGGATTCTTTCAAGGCAGGAAACTGTGTCCAAATCACAGATCTTCCCCTTTATGAGCAGAGCAACCTTTCGCGGTTAGTTTGCAGCTCCGTGTGGTCTCCCCCTCTCAGCTGTCCAAGGGTGCTGGCCACCCCTGCTCTCCTCCCTGTTGTGGCAGTAGGAGACAGCGACTTGTCAAAGCACGTAGAAGACACTGAGTAAAAATCTGTCGTGTCTTTCCATAGATTTACAAATATTAATAGGTGATATTTGCATTTCAAACCCCCCATGTGGGAGAGGTGAGGACTGCACATTCCCACCCTGCTTTGCCTGCAGAAGCCACATACGAAAACACTCCTCAGGCAGCAGGTGGATTCACTGCGTCTCCCCCTCAAGTTATTTTGAGATCCAACCAAAAGAAGTGTGAAGAGGAGGCACGTCAAATGACTAATGAGTGGAATGCAAATGCAAAACAGAAAGTGGCATGAAGCATGTCATTACGGAGAGCTGGGGGCCTCTTGACAGTCCCTGTCATGGGAGGTCCGTCTTAACCCCAGAATCAGGGTTGGTTTTCCCAATGATACCCACAGTCCACCTGATCATCATACAGTAACTTTCGAAAGAAAGATAAGCTGTAAAACCACAGTACCATCTCACACCTACTAGAATGGATAAAATAAGAATGGCCGGCGACATCAGATGATTGGGAGAATGTGGAGCAATGGGGCTCCTTACACATGGCTGCTGCAGGTGTGAAACTACCCAGGAGAATTGTCTGGCAGGTTCTTATGAAGTTAAACTGACACTTA